TTCTTGCCCAGTTCTCAATTTTTCGTGATCCATCTGATTCGATTCTTCCAACATTGGTTTCAACAGTTAATGAATCAATTAACTAATCAAAAAATAGTAGCTAGGTGGGTACTGTAGGTTAGAATGTGGAAAGATGTTGAAAGGAGAACGACGTTTTACCCTACAAGTGGTGGTTAGCCTAGAAATTGCCTCAATCACTAATGGTGGTCTGTCCAAATTCTTACACTTTCTAACGGAAAAAACTTCTCATCTCCCTTATATATTATTAATTCTCTCCTTGTCCAATTCGCTACCTCCGTAGTAAATCTTTAATTCAAACCATACCTACTGAATTTCTTCCTAATTTCTGTTCTGTATATTTTCTTGTCGATTTGTACTAGAAACTTTGATCGTTTGCCAGAAATTAAGGAAGAAAGGTGGAGGATACGTAATTAAGACAGGTTTTCGATTTCGAATTAGGTTTTCTTATATCCACCACCCGTGTTGTGTCTTGTTGCGTTTTCTCGTTTTCGTAGATCATGTGCAGTAGAGGCCATTGGAGGCCTGCTGAGGATGAGAAGCTTCGAGAATTGGTTGAACGATATGGACCTCATAACTGGAATGCCATAGCTGAAAAGCTACAGGCTAGATCAGGTGAATTAACATGCATCTTGCAACTTACTACCGTATATGTGTCCACCCCCACCCCCACGCCCACCCCCGACTCCAACCCCAACACACACAGACAAATGAAGTAATATAACAATAGTAATCCAAGAGAGAAGGGAGGAAAAAAGCTTCTGTAGCAGTTCTGACTTAGGGCTTGATATGTTCATGAAAAAAGAAAATCACTTGAAATCATAATCGCCTCTTGATCGATCCCCCATATTATGTATATCAAGTGAAGATATTATTTTTCAAAGTCGAAGTTCGAGTGCTCCAATTGTAACGACTACTTTTAAGTCTCTTATTGCTACTCAAATATTGAAAGGCGTGCGTTTGGGCTTATAAGCAAGTTGGATATCAGTTTTTAAGAGTCGGTTTTAAGGGGGAGTATCCTCCGATCCTAAATCCATCAGTCAAAATTTCCTCTTATATTGCTACACCAGTTGCATACGATGATAACAAAAATTTTGATACAGGGGAGAAGGGTCCATGGGAGATCACAGCAGTATCAATTTTTAGGGTTAGATAATTTTTTTATATTTTGGAAAACTAATTACTGGTGTTGGACATACATTTATATATTGCATAATGATAGAACTGTCTATACATTTTTATCGCTACATGTAATTAAATATATCAATTGTTTCAATGGTCAGGGAAAAGTTGCAGGCTGAGATGGTTCAATCAGTTGGATCCAAGAATAAACCAGAATCCATTCACCGAAGAGGAAGAAGAGAAGCTTCTTGCTTGTCACAGGGTTCATGGGAACCGATGGGCTATAATTGCCAGACATTTTCCAGGACGAACTGATAATGCCGTGAAGAATCACTGGCACGTTATCATGGCACGAAAATGCAGAGAAAGGTCTAAAATTTATGCCAAAAGAGCTAATTCACAAGCACGGGATTGTGATATTGAAGAACCCTCCTCAAAGCGCCAAAAGAAATTGTGCTTCAATCCTTTATTTGTAGACAGATATACCAAGAGATTCGATAGCACACAAACATATAACCTGCCACCTCTATGTTGGCTGGAGCTCCATTCATCAGACACTCTTATTCATCATGTGAAGATCGATCAAGGTAATGTTGCGTGGTTGCTAATAATGTCGAAAGCTAAGATTTGGTCTGCTCCTTATCTTTTGGAAGTAGAAAAATTGCTTTAATCTGTGTTTAATTTGGACATGTAGAAGGGAAAAGGGAATGGATGAGTGGGTCATATGTGTTAATTAACCTCACTTCATCCAAAAAATTTTAGTTTTGGGCCGATGATGTCGTTTAAGGTGGTATTGACTTCCAAGTATTGTTATTAATACTTAGTTATGAAAATTATGTATGTGTAGAAGTGATTAAAAAAATGCATATGTTCCCGTGAGATGACCATTTTGAATATAAAATTTACTTTTATTAACTTAAAATTTTAGATTAGATAAAAGAAGAAGAAAAAGAAGGTCGACAGGGAGCAACGGAGAGGGAATTGTTCCATTGTTTTGACAAAGACCTTCCCCCTCTCTATAAATCCCCTTTCGTTTTTCCTTTCTAAATTTCTTTTCCATTAGCCATAAAGAGCGTATAAAAGAATTTAACTCTTCATATCGAGCATGTTCACATAAACTTCAGAAAAAGTAAAAGTGACTTAATTTCTTGGATACGTTATTATTGTTTTTTTACTCATTAGTAAACAAAAGTTACTTTTTTCAACTTTGAAAACATGCTCTTAAAATTCAACTATATATAGAATTTATCCAAGTGCACTAGTCTTCTTGCTGTGCTGTGCTGTGCTGTGCTTCTCATGAGCTTATTAACTGGATATTCATAGAAACATAATTTGAAATTGCAGAGAAAAGTCAGGCAGTGGAGTTCTATGATTTTCTACAAGTGAATACAGAATCGAATAAAAGCGAAGTGATAGACCATGCAAAGAAAGATGATGATATTGAAGTTGAGCAGCAGAAAAATGGCATACCATTTATAGATTTCTTATCAGTGGGAAGCTCTTCCTAATTACTGTGGCTCACCTTTTTTGTTTGGTAGTAATACTGTCCAATATTATATAGTCCATCCTGTCAAACGATCTTCAGTTAGGTTAATCCTGCATATGTATGTATGCATGCATGCATGCATGTGTGAATGAATGACTGAATGACATATATGTACATCTGTTAACGTAATTGTGCATTCGAGTTTTGGTGAGCAGAAAAATGGATTCTCCTTTCGTGTAGGTGAAATATTTTATTGTTAAAACTTTTCTGTTCGGTGAGAATTAAAATCAGATTTTTAAAAAATAGAAGTAAATAAAAAATGTGGTTGAAAAAGTTGTGAATCGCATCAAATATATGATTAAAATTAATTATTAACCTTGACTTTGATAAAAATTTAGAATTTAATCTCTACCAAATAGAGGTTTTATAGTTCAGAATGGTGAATGGGGGTAGAGATGGCCAATATGGTCCATGTACCGAAACTGCGTCATGCCATTTTATATATAAATAAATATAATAAATTAAAGGAGACGATAAATGTGAATAAATTAATCCCACCCCGCTCTCATTCCTTCACAACCCCATTGCCATCCCTATCTAATTATCTATTTTCATAAGATATATCCAAAAGCATCCCCTCGTAATCTTGTTTCCGATAGAAAAACACTGCCTTCGCCCTTGAATTTTAGAGAGAAGATTGTTGCTTCTTGATTATTAGAATACGCTCTTAAACTCATAGTCCATGTTAATGTCAAATATGCTTGAAAGAACTGGCAAATCCAGTGTGAGGGTAGTGGAGTTAGCTGGCTTATTGCCCAAAATAGTTGCTTCTTGATTTTTAGAACACAATTTTTAACCTCGTATAAGATCAGTTATCTTGCTTGTATTCAAAAGGCTAGTAACTTCATGCTCATTCTGCCCGAAGACATTGACCTGCTAGAGTCCAAGATAGTTTCATTTACTAATTTTTTTCACAGCAAATCTTGATTGATGAATTCAATTCCTAAAATTATCAATAAGCCGATTTTATATTTTTCTCTCTCCTAGGTCCTCAAATGGAAAATTATTTGATTTGCCCTGGAGTTGGAGGCTACTGTCATTCGAGATCTGCCACATCTAGAGGCGACCTCGACAGTGAGAGTTGAGGGACCGCACAAAACCTCAACATTGAAAGGGAACAAAGAAAAAAAATTGTTACATATGTATATATATATATAATTATATATTTAAAATATATTTTATTAATTTTTACTTTTAAATTTTATTATTATGTTAAGTTCTAGAGTACAATATTTATGAAAAAAGATTCCAAAAAATAACGTTAATATTTTTTTTTATTTAACATATTATTGATACAAATTATTTATTTTTCTAATTTTAAACTATCCTGCTTTCGAAAAAAAATATTTTAAACTATTGCTTTCGAAAAAAAATATTTTAAACTATCCATTTTACCAGCTCAATCACAAACGTCCAAATAATCCAATTAGCTTCATTTACTAATTACCAACCCAACAAAACAATAAACAACCTAAAATTCAAATGATTAAAGTGAAGAGTGAAAAAATAACCCCAGATCCTTTTTTGTCATTTCCTGTTCTCCTACCATTTAACCCACGAAAAACAATCAAGTAGAGAATTGTTTGCTCTACAAAAGTACAATCTACATCATAACATCACAATTTTATT